CGCTTGAAAATTTATAGACCATACAGCTATTTACCAATACAAAAACTAAGATTGCATACATATATTTTGCCATGAGAAAACAATACATCATACAATGACACAAGTCCTGCACAAACTTCTTCCAATAACCGAGCATCTTCGTTTTATATATAAACAAGTCCCGTCTATAAATAGCTTGCAAGCTGACACAGCCACACCCACGACACACACCTGCACTGTGTTGATGGACTGCATTACTAGTGGATAGTATTCGCATAGCGCTCCCAGGACAACAAACAACTCTGCACGCTAAGGTTAGAGAGAGATTTGAGGTTAGTAGGTATAACATCACACATATCTTAAATGAGGTTAGTAGGTATAATATCACACATTTTCTGCATTAAGTGAAGTATGTAGTTAAAATTGAACAGCTATCCTGCATTAGTTAGTCGGCATAACATAACACATATACTACATAAGATGAGGTTGGTATGTATAATATCACACGTATCCTGCATATGCATAAGATGAGGGTAGTAGGTAAGAAATAACACGTATATCGTGTACTGCACATGCTGTGCTTGACGTGAACGTCCGCACAATACATGCACGTGCCTCAATGCACTTGAACATACAGCTATATGCTAAACAGAATAAGAAATGTGAACATCTACAAATACACATACAAGTATAAATACAATACCAAATTGTAGTGATAAATACATAGATACATACATACACTTGCCAGCGCACACACACATTCACACGTCCACAAATACATATACCCACACTTAGCCTCTACTTGAAATAGTGGTCTTCAGACGCATCCTGATTAGACCATGGACGCCACCGTCGTAGAAATAGTCATTTACATGCACACATATATACTCAGAACAATCGACACACGTGTACATACATGCATACATACATACATTCATGCATATATTAACACACACACAAAGCCTCTTCTTACAGTGGTACTCTTCAGATCCGTCCCCGCATAGACCATAGGCATTAATTGCATCGCCACTTTACGCACACCCATGGCCGTGGCATTGATACGCAGTTTGATCAGTGTACGCAGAAGTATCAAGCTGTCGTTGCGAATAGGAGAGCTCTTATTGCGCGTCAATACGTACAGGCTAAGATCCTGCGATATCCATGGTGGAAAGGAATGTCAGAATGGACATATGCATGCCCCATCAGCACACTATACCCTCACATGCATATATATATATATATATATATCACAATATATATATATATGCATATATATATATATATATATACGAAATGAATATATACAAACCACAACCTCAAATACGATGGATACACTTGTGTGCCTCCTGTTGAAAACATACCTTGAGATCCCGTGCTTGCTTCTCGAGCAGAAGACCGTGCGTATTCAACCGCTTGACATACACTTGCAGGTTGCCTAGCAACGCTTTGTAGGCCGAGAGGTATGGTTTGCCTATACCTTGCTGCAGCTCTTCCATCTGCGCAATCGCCAGCAACAGCCCTCCATCGTGATTGAGAAGTATCGCAAAACACAGCTCTGTGTGTGCATGTAAGGCAAGGATACCCCCAATGCTCTATCCGTGAAAATGTGCTGGGCAAGCCAACCTAACAGACTAACAAAATTAGGTACTAAACTACACCCGTATCTAAAGGGCAAGAAGCTTCTATCGCCATGCCCATCACTGCACCACACACTGATACCGTGTGTTTGTATGCATAACCACGGTGTCACATTGACATAAAAATGTAGTTGGTTTAGTATGTAAGTCATAGTATAACTGCAAAGTATCTATCACAACTCACTACTATCGTCTATTTATATTTAATAGCCACATTGCCACATTGACATAGGTTATAGGTATATCCATAATGTACTTATCATATGTATAGACATACACACGCAAGTATAGTCCATTTGATTCATAACCACATTGCCACATCGACAAAGGTTATAGGCATAACTGTAATGCTACCTATCATATGTATAATCAAACACACGCAAGTATACTCTATTTGTATTCATATCCACACTGCCACATTGAAATATTTTATCGGTATAACTGTATTGTTACCTACCACATGTACAAGCTTAAACACGCAAGTATAGTCTATTGGTATACCTAGCCACACTGTCACATTGCCATAGGTCATAGGTACAACGATAATGTACTTATCACAGGTATATACATACACACGCAAGTATAGTCTATTTGTATTCACAACCACACTGCCACATGGGATATAGGCATAACTGTAATGTTATCTTAAACCTACACACGCAAGTATAGTCTATTTGTATTCATAGACACACTGCCACATTGACATAGGTCATAGGTATAATTGTAGTGTACTTATTACAGGTATGAACGTATACACACAAGTATAGTCCAATTGTATTGATAACCAAACTGCCACGTTGACAGGTTATAAGTATAACTGTTGGTCCCTCTGTATGGAATTTATATCCTGTTACTACATACCATACCAACATCATGCACTCTAACTATTATTATTCACAAATGCTTAGTGAACATATATTTGTTCTTCATCGGTATTCACTTAACGTAGACATGCATACATACTTATGGTGTTTGGATCCTGCACCTTGATGCATAGCTGGTTAATATCCACAACCAGATCAAAAGCCTGCTGGCCTCTCTGTTCGTGTGTGCCTGTTGCACAGCCATTCGGATCTGTAACCGACAGTAGCAGAGCCAAACGCTCGTTGATTGCGGTAAGCTCAGAGTTCATAGTGTTATGGATGTACGCATTAACGACAGGTATGTTTGTGTACTTATTAAATATACATGTGATACCCCGTTTTAGGTACAGGTGTTTGTTGTAGTGTATCCACTTCTTTACATCATTCTTGATGTCATTGGGAACGTACGCAGCATGTGTCTATTGCGATGTTATCTTACAGCATTGAGCGACAACCGTTGACAGTAAACTCACGCGGACAGTAAACGCACCTACTCCCATCCACAACGCAAGACATGTACCACGCTACGTACATTCACTACCATTTAAAGAAAGGCCTGTCCATGTACTTGATATGTGACTTGTGATATGTATGTGTTGTTATATAATATACTAATTTAGTTGTTAGCGTTGTTGGTGACGGAATATACCTATCTCTACACAAGCTGCCTGTACTCTGTAGTATGTAGTGTGTAGGGGGGTTTCTTCTCATCACCTGACACATATTGTAATAAATAGATACAAATGGCAAATCACAAAAATTGCGATGACTCTCTCGCTGCCGCCGAAAAAAAAATTCCGCTTTTAGTTAAAAAATATATATAAACAGCTGAGAACGTAGTACGTTTACCTTAACGCAGTCAATTCAGCGTTTTATTTAGTATAGTAACGTGTGAAACCGTTTATGTTTTAACAATGAACGCATCTATTTGAAAGCGCATTTACTGTTTACGTTCTACGGATTGTAGCCTGGCCTAGAATATGCTACCAGCTACACAGCAGACTCAGAACATTTAATGTTCGCTCAAGCGACGGTTTACGTATATCGTCGTCGTGTAATACCATTCCTACGACAGCAATGTTATCTATCTTAACAATCGCCATGTAGGATTGCTTCAATGAATACAAATTTGAAGCGCGATTGATTGAAGCAATGCATTGTTGGACAGTGTGTTTATTATATACAATTTATATTTGAAAATCGGATACTCTGTGATACTGCTTGCGTGTAGTGCCGCGCTTCCTAACTTGAAAATTACCTTCTAAATTTGCTTAAATGTACATATGCTTGTGTGCGTGGGATTTTAAATCCGTTTTGACGTCAATCCATTTCAGTGTTTTGGGATCTGTGTGATGCGAAAAGATTGCTGCCTTGAATTCGCTGATATGATCAGATTCTATAGCGAAACACCTCCGTCTTTGCGATGTACACCCAAAAAAGGTTTAGGAGTCTTGCCTTTGGACTGAGTATGTCGGAGGGCATTGTCTTCGTGACAAATTTTGTCAATGGAAGTCCAAGGGTATTTATATAGCAGCATCATATCATCCAGGTGGTAAGCAACAATACCATTCTTATCAGTATTCACGATCAAGTCTGGTGCGTGTCGTTCTTCTACCTTATACTGTCCTGCGACAATTCGCTCATTTTTTATATTGAACATAATATCCTTTACGACATGGAATTGTCATATAACTATGGGTTTGTAAATTTTTACTGCGCGTGTCTGCTGCAGATACAACAACAACCGCTCTGTTTTCGTCTTCAAAAATCGATTGAAGCCGATTGGAATTCTTCGTAGAGTTGCAGAGTCTAGAATCCCGAATATAGATCGGGGAGTGTAATTTTCTGCCTTCACGGTCATCGAATCATTCTCTTGTATAGTCATATATGGTTTTCGTCGTTTGGTCAGGCCGAGGAATTTAGATACGATCGCCATGATTGCTTCAGAAATAACAAGCTTTAGTGAACTATTGTGTTGTTTTAGAGATTCAATCTAGTGTGACTGTAAAATGACAGTGATAGATGTATGCACAAATATAAAAGTAACTCCTCTCTCCATCCTTCGACCTACTTATATAGCATTCAACTCAAACGGTAGAGCATTTTTTTATTTTGTCTTCTCGACCACTTTACAGATTTTGCATCAGTCGCATCTGTACTTTATCGCAGGGATGTTCCCGGGGGTTCCCACTTCCCACACTTCCCAAGTTCCCAGGGAGACCCCCCACCATCCACAGGATGTAGCTCATCTTAGACTCTTAGAGTGGTGGCACTTTGTTTTGACTTTGATTGAAGATGGTTTTCTCTTATTAGGAGTTAGGAATTTCATACATATTTTCATTGTGTTTTTTTATTGTTTTTTTTTATTGTTTTATATATTAATATAACTGACTGACTAATTTACATACATATTTTTTCAAAAATAAAAATTATTATGTTTTAGTTTATTTTTTTTAAAGTTTAGGCGGAAAAGTGTAAGTATGTGACTGGAAGGAAACTGGGCCTGAGGTGGTCAATAATTTTATTGTCACCAGTGCCATATATACACATTCTAGCTAAGCTCAATACGTTTTTCCTATATGCAATGAACTTTAAACGTAAACGCAGAGATTTGTAGCTGCTATCAATCCCATTACCTGATCTCTGGTAGCTATTTTCAATCCCATTACCTGATCTCCGGTAGCTGGTTTTAATCCCATTACCAAATCTCTAGTAGCTGCTATCAATCCCATTACCTGATCTCCGGTAGCTGGGTTCAATCACATTACCTAATCTCTAGTAGCTGGGTTCAATCCCATTACCTGATCTCTAGTAGCTGCTTTTAATCCCATTACCTAATCTTTAGTAGCTGCTATCAATCCCATTACCTGATCTCTGGTAACTACTTTCAATCCCATTACCTGATCTCTGGTAGCTGCTTTCAATCCCATTTTTGTTTAAAAAAAAGCCGTTTAGAGTATATCGAGGGCAAATCAACCAGAGATTTTTTTTCAAAATTTGCACCTGAGAAATTGACTTTCGTTGAATCACAGGGCCGCGAAACGCGTAATGTCCAATGAAAACACGATTTTAAAATATCCACAACTGGAAAATAGGACAATGGGTGACGGTTAGGCCGCCTCAAAAAAAAATATCGATTTGTAAACCCATCGCATTATGACTATTATATTTGGGATGAACTTTGAACGTAAACGCATACTTTTTCCAATATTTTGCATTTTAACGGGAAACGTAATGAGGCTAGGTTGTAACTTGTAAAAAGTTGAAACACGGAATTTGTTTTAAATAAAACTGTTATGTATGTAGTGTTTGTTTTTTCTACATAGAGTCTACTCATCTACTGAGTACATACTTGCAGACTGATATTTATCAGTGATCAGTATTCAGTGATCACTGAACTAGTAAACTAATACTTTTCTGAAGTCTGAGCACTGAGCACTGAGCAGAGATGCCAGAGTGAGCCAGAGTGACAGACTGTGTTGTTGACTTGGTGTTAATTTTTATACTTTTGTTGTTTATTTTTAAAACAAATACAAACAGTTGAAACAAGTCAACAACCTCGGGCGACGGTCACAGAACTTGTCCATTTGTCCCGATCAGAAATCCTTCTAGTCCAGTTTGTCCAGTACTCCAGTTTGTCCAGTTTGTCCAGTTTTAAGATTGTCTGAATTTCCGTTCGACAGTCCGATTAGTTCGTTGTATCGTACGCTATTTAAAAAAAAATGTATTTGTTTTGGCGCGCTATATTCTGGTTGAAATGCCATAGATATTTGCCTATTTGGCGGCATTACACTTTTACAGTGCATAAATACTTGATACTTGATAGTTGATAGGGTTATTTATGCAACTACGGAGTATTTACGGACTCGCCGAGTGCTTGTTATCCAATGCGTCCAAGGCAATAAGCAATACTGTAGGTCATTTGGAGTTTTGGACCCGGTATGTAATAAACAGGTACAAACTTAAAAACACCCAGATAAAAAATAAAATAAATATGTTACAAATTCAATCTGAGAGCAGAGTGACTCTGACTCCTGTGGCTATGAGTGTGAGTGATATGTGATCTATGAGCGGATATTCCTCCTAGAGCTTTAAAATGTAATGTAATTTATAAAAAAACTAACTATGTATACATATGTAATTCTTTTTTCAATACTATAAATAATACATATTTTAATATTTTATAGTACAGAACAAGAACACAAGTATAAATAATAAATACATGACAAGATTTTATTATTATTAATGTATTTACATTGTTTTCTTTTTAATTGTTTTAAAAAACAAATATAAAAATACACTCTGAACTTCTGAAGTCTTGAAGTGAGAAGTCTCCTCTCTCCTGACTCTCCTCTCCAGTCTCAAAGCCCAAAAGTCAAGAATCAAGTCTCGACAGTCAAACTTGAAACTCAGTCAAAGAACTGCAATATATTTTGACAAAAAAAAATCGATTGCGCGTACTATCTAGTATCTACCTGCCCCTGTCTTCCAAATATTCTCTCCTTCGTGAGACTTTACACAACCTGGCTACCAATGTTGCTCTACGCTCGGTTCTCTGGGTTGGGACAGCAATCTCATATTCACCCAGGGATGGGAATTGTACCATCTCTGCATGATATGTTTACTTGGGGCAGTAGCGAGTCTCTCCATGGCTTTAAGTTTTAACCTAAGTTAAGCCAACTATAATTTAGATTCCTCCTGTTTGTGATATTAGCCAGTTCCCCTTCATACCGCAATAAACTTTGACAAACTAAATTCTGCTAAATACATCATTATATTTCTTCATAAAAACTGCATACAATCTACATAGCTATACTATTGCAGTCGCGACGTGTGTGTATATATTGCCGAGAGTAGTAAACGCCTACACAGTATATACTTCTTTGCCTATGTGTTTAATTGTGAACCGTACATAGTACATGGACATATTTCCCCATGGGTTAAAAACCTCTACATAGTAAAAAACTTTTGCCTATTTGTTAGATAATGGGCCCCTACATAGTACATACTTCTTTGCCTATGGGCTGAAATGTTAATTCCGACATAGTACATGTATATTTGCCTATGGATTAAATATTAAACCCCTGCACAGTGCATACTCATCTGCATATGGGACAAACAGTAAACAACTACATAGTACATATTTTTTTGCTTATAGGTTGAAAAATAAACCCTACATAGTACATACTTTTTTGTCTATGGGGTGATGAGAAAACCTCTACATAGTACGTACTTATTTGCCTATGAATTATATAGTAAATACCTACATACTTTTGCCTGTGTTAATTATTTAATCCCCACATAGTACAAAATTTAGAATTTGCATATATGATATAGTGCACACCTACATAGTGCATATTTCTTTGCGTATGAGCTTTAAAATAGCAAAATTCTACTCAATACATACTTCAGTATCTGCATATGGGCTAGATAGTAAAACCATAAATAGTACATGTACATACTTATTTGCGTATGGCTTAGTATAGTAAACAACTACATAGTCCATACTTATTTGCCTATAGGTCGAATAGTATAATAATACCACTATATTTGTTACATACTCCATTGCCCATGTGTTGAATACTAAACCATTTAATAGTATATAGGTACTCATGGGTTAAGTAGGAATTTCCTTCATAGTAAATATTTATTTGCCTACGAGTTAAATAGTAAATCCCTACATAGTACATGCTTCTTTGTTTGCTGGTTAAATAGGAATCCTTCACATAGTGCATACTTCTTTGCCTATGGGTTAAAATGTAAACCGCTACGAAGTGCGTACTCTTTTGCTTTTGGGTTAAATAGCAAACATCTACAAATTTCATAATTCTTGCCTGTGACTGAAATAGGTATTTCCTACGCAGTACAAAATTTAATCTTTTCTTTGTGTTAAATACATAGTTATCAACATTACACATACTTCCTTGCCTATCAGTTAAATATCAGACATCTACCTAGTGTATACTTTTGCATATGGGTTTAATGAATAGTAAAAACAAACATTGTATATACAAAATCTGTTTATGGATTACAAAAATATATAGTATATACTTCTAAGCCTTCGTATTAAAAAAATAAGTACTATATGCCTACATAGTACATACTTATTTGCATATGGGTTATTTTATAGTAGGCTTCTACATAGCACGTACTTGTTTTCAATTGTAAACACCTACATAATACTTACTAATTTATCTATGAGTTGAATCGTAAACCCCCACGTATTACACACTTCTTTGCCAATAGGTTATATAGTAACCAGCTACATTCACCTATGTTCAATCGTAAACCCCTACGTAGTACCTACTTATATTCCTATGGGACAGTTAGTAACCCATACATAGCATATACTTCTTCACCTATGGAATGAATAGTAAACCCATAGCACATACTTTGCCTATGAGTGAAGTAGTACCCCTCTACATAGGTGAAGTAGTACCCCTTTACACATTTATACTTCTTTGACTGTGTTTTGAAATAGTCAATCCCTACGTAGTACATACTTTTATATTTGCATAAAAAAGTAAACCCCTATAGTAAACCCCTATGATACATACTTATTTGTCTATGGGTTAAATCGTAAACCCCGACATACTATATACTTACTAAACCATAGTGCATAAATATTTGCCTATGGTATAAATAGCAAACCACTAAATAGTGCACACTTCTTCGCCTATGGGCTCAATAATGAACTCCTACTTAATGCATACCTCCTTGCTTATGGCTCAAATAGTAAACCCGTAAATAGTACTTATTACTTTCCGTATGAGTCATGAAAGTACTTCAAATACCCGACGAACCCGAGGCTCCTAGAGGTAGGCGGTGGACAATGCTCGAGGTGCCAAGGAAAAAATCGGCTGACGACAGGTGACGACTACAGGCAACCTTTGAAGCACTGCATACGGCACTATACTATCGCACGCACAATACATTTCCTTTCATAGTGTCTTTCTCATCAATCGCTAAATGTGATTTATATTTGATTCAGAATGGGTGCCGAGTCCGGTTAACCTGTTGATTGATAAATGTTCTTTATTTCTATATTTAGGTAGTTCGTTGTTACATACTAACTGAAATGGATGTTGTTATCGTTGAATAATTTCAGCAGTTTCAGGAAATCATCTATATCGAGTGTCCTGGATCGCTTTTCCACAAAGTCACTATCAGTTAATAATTTGATCACTTTGTCCTTGATTGACTCCTCATCGGATTCGTCCATCTGTTATTTCAGTTCAAAGTATAGGGCAATAGGTTGGATCAGGTGTGGCTCATACATAGCATAGAACAGCAATGAAATGGTCGCATAGAGTGCTTATATATGTATGTTTGAGTATAGATATAGATATGGATATATGTGTTTTAATGGGTTGATTATCAGGTGATCAGGAAGTAGCCACGAGCGCACTGATTCAAAAGTGGGGGCGGGTGACATTGACGTCACGGATAAATGACCAACAAAACAGAACGGGCATTTTAAGAGTTCATACCCTAAAAAACCATTTAGGATTTAGTGTTATATACGCTAAAAAAGGTGAAGGGTTGGGAAAGGTGAGTCCACCCACCAGATACCAGAGCGCACCACAAATCAATCAAGTAACACATCACCGTAGGAGTCGCTTGATATAAAAGCAGTAAAAGCTGCTGTTTGCACCACCCACTTTATACGGTAACTAAACAGCGCCACACGAATGATAATAAAGTGTAGGTCAACTCTTTCCCCGAAAGCACGCGACTGTTAGTGTATGTGTTTAGACTCTATATATATATATATATATATAATTATAATATACTATTCTATGTATCTATATATATATATATATATATATATAAATATACATTCATATATATATATGTTTATATCGTAGGCGACATGCAGCAGGCATACCATGTTATTGAGAGCGCAGTATGTCTTGTAGTTCTTGCTGAGTAGTTCGAGCACGGCCTTGCTCCTGAAGGACGCACCAAGCGTTTTGTTTTTCCTGACAAAGCAGATACGTAGAAGACCGTCCCATTCCTGCGCACAAAGACATGACTGCATTGAGTCTCGAGTATAGTGGTCCTAGTATAAACTTGAACCAAAGAAATTAAGTCTGTACGTAGTATGATATGTATCGGTTTCAGCCACCAAAGCCCAAGCACTAGAACAATATAAGGACAACCCGAACGTCTCAGGTCATAGCTGCGTCGTTGTGAATAAAGCGAACACCATATGTTTAAAGGTCACAGCCATATTGGCTGAGAGTCGTCATGATAGCGTGGTAGTTTCTGCACTTCAACGCCTAACTCAACATTAACCTGTTCGTTCTTAGCGGAGATAACATACCTATCTATGTCTATATTTATATAGGTATAGATATAGGGTTTTAGCATTGTACTACAAGACCTATATGTGTATATTTACACATATATATATATGTATATATATATATCTATATATATAAATATATACATACATACATATATATACTTATACATATATATGTATATATATGTCTGTAAACTGACCTCTAAGCATTTACTCAACTCAACTAACGACACATACCTGGAAATTAATTGGGGGTGGCGGGTTGTATGGCTCAATGCGCACCACCGCAGACTCGACCTTTGGCGGTGGCTTGAAGTTGTTCTTGCCCACTTTCATCACGTGCTCGACCTTGGATAGTAACTGCATGGAGTGATTGAAAGTCGGCGAGATTGTATAAGCGAGAGTTAAATATAGCACACAGGACTTATACGGAGTGTTTGGGATAGGGTTTTAAGGATTTTAAGGGGTGTTGGGGCGGGTTTGAAGGTAAGGTTATAGTGAGGGTAAGATCTACTGAGCTGGAATAGTTTGCGTAGGATGTATTTATACGCTCGAGATTCTGCGCTCGCGGTGGAGCACTGCTCGAGTAATGCGCAAATTGCAATACAAGACCACCTGCAGTTCGAGAAGACTTATTAACAGTTAATTGTATGTGTAGATACTAACAGTTCATCATACATGTGTGTAGGGTACTATACACCACGGGCATGTACATTTGGAAACTAATCAGAGCATGCCACCACGGGCATGGACATTTAAGGAGAAATAAGAGCATGCCACCACAGCCCATTTTGCAGCTAGAACAAACATAAAACAATTCAATACGAGCACTCTGAACTCACGAGCAGTTGCCAGCATAGCCAGACGAACGTATAAACATTATCGTACAAAGACACAACACTACAATATATAGAACACACAACACCAATATAACACACCCATACCATAGCCACAGGCACAAGCACGTACTATCTCGAAAGTCATATGTCAAATGAACACTGTACACAACACCCATACCATAGCCACAGGCACAGGCACGTACTAACTTTAAAGTCATATGTTAGATGAACACTGCACACAACACCCATACCATAGCCACAGGCACAGGCACGTACTAACGGTAAAGTTATACACCTAATGAACACTTCATACCTGCGTGTTAACTGATAATCGGCAGTACAGGGGATCGCCAGGCTTAGCCACTAAGCGCTGGGCGAACTCCAACTGAAACATCAGCACTGCACACCGAAAGAACGGGCGGTGCAGCAGCAACTTAAACACCAACGGCGATGAGATCTGTTGTATAACAGAGAGGGGTAGAGGGTTTTAGAGGGAGTGAAGGGTACCTATGTATGTATGTATGTATGTATGTATGTAATAACATAGTAGTCAGATAGTGTGTAAGTCAGATAGGATGTGTTTGTGTCCCTAAACACCGTGCGCGCATGTGCGTATGAGTGCAACCCTACATCTGTATATATGTCGGCACAAGCAGACGCAAGTGACAAGTGACAGCCCAAGACCCAAAAACCCTACAATCTCCATAGCAACCACCCACCTGGTACGGCACATTAGCCACGCATACATCGAAGTACGGCATCTCGGACTTTAGGATATCACCCACGCGAATACTAAGCTTGCTGTACTGGGGAGTTCCTTGGATACGTTTAGTTAACTCAGCCACCATACGTGGGTCCACCTCACACGCCACGACTTTCTTCGCTATGTCGAGCAATTTGACGGTCATGTTTCCGGTTCCTGGTCCTACTTCTAGGACCGTATCTGAACTCCTGTAAAAGTCAAGGAGACGATGAGAGATCGACAGGGGCGAGGTGGAAGGGGTAGACTTGATTTGTACATATATATATATATATATATATTTGAATATATGTTTTATATAGTAAAGAATTCATATCTCCCAAATTGGTTACAGCCGCACCAGAAACATAAAATACAAGTAAATAGGTAAATATCAGACCATATAAATGAATACTGGAGTATGTAACCACATTCATATACACTTATAGAAATAAGAAATATATACACATTTATTTATAAATACATAGGTAATCTGTCAATATATATATAAAATATAAGCAAGATATTCAGATATCAGTACAAATCGACTTAAGAATACACATCAGCATACGCTCGCACACACACTCACCCACAACCACACCCACAAATCAAACACACTCACTTATACATACTCATATATGTATATATATATATATATATNTATA